AACTCCACGACGATCTGTCGATTCTCGACACACTCGCGAATAAAGTGGAAGCGAGTGTCGATGTGCTTGTTGCGTCCATGAAACACTGGTTTCTTTATCAATGTTATTGCAGATTTGTTGTCAACATAGAGAGTTACTGGTTTTGGCTCGCTCCCGGTCACTTCGCTCAACAAACTTCTCAGCCATAATGCTTGGCATGATGCAACAATGGCTGCCATGAACTCTGCCTCACAGGATGATAGAGCAACGGTTCGCTGCTTCTGAGATTACCAAGTGATTAGGTTTCCGTTGAGATAAAACGCCATCCCTCCGGTGCTTTTCATATCACTGTTAGTAAAACCGACGAGTTCTTCAGCTCCTTGTCCTCTTTTGTACTGAATCTCGTAGCTCATTGTTCCCTTCACGTAATGAAGAATATGCTTCACCGTCTGCTGTTGTAAAGTGGTAGACTGCTTCATGTAACGACTCACCATGCCAACTGCGTATGAGATATCAGGTCGAGTATGGGTCAGGTACCTGAGACACCCGATGACACGCCTATACTTGGTGGGATTCACAAGGATTCCTTCCGCATCCTTTCCAAGCTGCAACTTTGCTTCCATTAGATACTTGCTCGGGTTGCAGTCTACCATCTCGAACTGCTCCAACACCTTCTTTGCGTAAGTCGATTACTTCATTGTGTTGCGGTCTTTCTTTTGGTCTACCTCGATACCGAGGTAGTTTGAGAGTAGCCCAAGATCACTCATCTCGAACTCCTTCATCATTTGCTTCTTGAATGTCTCAACACCATCAATGCTGGATCCCGTTACGATCAAATCGTCAATGTATACGCCGACGATGAGTACTTATGTTTCGTGATTCCTCGTGTACATAACCTGCTCTTGAGGACACTTCATGAAGCCTAGACTCATCATTCTCTTGTTAAGACAAGTGTTCCACGCCCTTGGTGCTTGGCGTAGTCCGTAGAGAGCTTTGAACAGCTTGTACACCTTGTGCTCTTCATTCTTGACAAAGAATCCTTCAGGTTAGGTGATGTAAACTTCTTCTTCAATATCACCATTGAGAAATGTGGACTTGACGTCCAAGTGGTGAATCTCCCACCCACGATGAGCTGCAAGGGAGGGCAAGAATTAACCTGACGGTATCGAGTCTCGCCACCGGTGCGAAGGATTCCTCGAAGTCAACTCCTTGCTTCTGCACATAATATCTCGCCACCAATCTTGCTTTGTGCTTGAGGATGTTGCATTTGCTCTATTTTCAACTTGAACACGCATTTTAAGCCGATGAGCTTGTGACCGGGTGGCAAGTCGGTGAACTCCCACGTCTTGTTCTTCTCGATGGACTCGAGCTCTTTCTGCATGGCCTTATTCCAAGCCTCCTTGGTTGCCACCTCGTGATATGTTGTTGGCTCGTCAGTAGTGAGCAACAACAATTCATCAAGCTTCATTTCTACTAATGGTGCTTCCGCATAGATCTCGGCAAGTGAACGGAATTCCTTGGGAGCATCTTCGGTTGTGGATCTTCCCGAGCTCTCTTGTTGTCGTTGAGAGTTCGGCGTGACCACTGGTGTTATTGGCAAGGTTGAGCCCGCTACTTCTCCGTCATCTTATAAAATTCTGAACTTCATAGAATTTGGTACAAGCTCGTCATCATCGTTGCACCATTCCCACTTCTTCTCCTCTTCAAACATTGCGTCTCTGCTCACAAGAATTTTTCTGCGTGGTGGATCGAGAAATCTGCGAGACTTACTTCCGTCTTTGATGCCAAGATACACCATTGCTTGACTTCGATCATCGAGCTTCTTGAGATGTGGACTTCTTGAGATGTGGAGATGTGGACCTGCAACCTTCACATGTGCGGTACATCTAAACACTCTCAAGTGCTTCAAATGAAGTCGCTTGCCTAACCATGCTTGGTAAGGGGTACAATCTCCTAACACCTTTGTTGTCAAGCGGTTCAAGAGATACACCGCATGTCGTACCGCTTCACCGCTTCTCCCCAGAGGTTTGTGCATGCTCTTAAGCAAGCTTCTCGCGGTGCCCATCACTGCCCATCACGGCCTCTCCACCACACCATTTTATTGAGGTGTGTACGATGCTGTGAGGTGACGCTCGACTCCCTCTTCTTTGCAGAACTCTGCGAACTTCTGGGAAGTGAACTCGCCACCTCGATTAGTTCTCATAGTCTTCAACTTGTACTCCAACGTGTTCTCCACGAGCTTCTTGAATTTCTTGAATGTTTCAAAAGCTTCTCCTTTTTCTTTGAGCATGTACACCCACATCCAACGACTATAATCATCAACAAGTAAAAAAAAATACTTGTTACCAGCGAGTGATGTCGGAGCGATAGGACCACACAGATCCGCATGCACAAGTTGTTGAGGGTGCTCGGTTCAAAAGTTGGCTTGGGCAGGAAAACACAGTCTTGTTTGCTTTGAAATCATGCAACTCTCACACACTTGATTGGGGTGTGTGATCTTAGGCAGCCCTATGGCCATCTCCTTCTCCTTCTCCCCCCCCCATCATTTTGAGCGCATAAAAGTTTACATGCCCAAGTCTCGCATGCCATAACCAAGCCGGATTTGCTAGTGGTGCTAATAGAGAAGCGGGTTGGCTTGTCTCGAGGGAAATCTTGTACAACCAATTTGACGATTTTTCCACCTTCATCACAGGGCGCCATTTCGGTCGAACATCTTTAATAACGAGCCGACTAAGGTGATCGTGTTGCCTTCTTCTGTCATCTGACCGAGACTTATGATATTACTTTTTAATTTCTGAATGTAATATGCCTCAGTCATTAGACATTGATCGCCATTTTTGCATACAAACAGGATGGTTCCTCGGCCCTTCCTTGATCTCGATGAGTGAGTCGTCTCTGAACTTCACATTTACGATGATCTTCTCGTTGAGCTCATTGAACTTCTCTCGATGGCCTGTCATGTGGTTGCTTGCTCCATTGTCAAGATACCATACGTCGGTGTGATTATACTCCTCGCCACTTGCGAGGAGGTTCGCCTTGACTTTTTCTTCATTGAGCACCACCCCCTCTGGTTCCTCCTTGCACGATTCTTGCGTGAACTTTTCGAGGTTTGTCTCCTCGTCTTCGGGCAAGGGATTCCCCACTCCCTCGACAAACATCAACGCTGACCCCTCGTCATGGAGGCTAGTAAGGTTTGCTTCCTCATCGACCTTCTTGCTACGACATTCGGATGTGTAGTGTCCGTAATTTTGACAATTGTAACACTTCACTGTGCTCTTGTCTTTGTAGGGTTTAATGTCTTCTTTTTGAGGTGAGCTTTCTCTACCCCGACCTTGCCCTCGTCCCCGCCCTTTGCCACGACCTCGACTATCTCTACCGTTGCCGCCGCCACTCGACGATCCAGAAGAAAAATTGGCTTCTCTATTTTTCTTCATTCGTGACATCCATTCTGCATGCGTTCTTCTCCTTCTCTTGGTCTTCGTAGCCGCGAATTCTCTCTTCGTGGACTTTGAGACGACCGATGACCTCCTCGACGGTCATGTTTTTGAGGTCACCAAATTGCTCGATCGCAGTGACGATCTGCATGCATTTTTGTGGTACATCTCCAAGGAACTTCTTGACAACGGAGATCTCCTCCACCTTCTCTCCCAACGAGCGGATGATTGTCACAATGGACGTCAATTTCATGGCGAAATCGTCCACCGTCTCTCCGTCCTTCATGCATATCGCCTCGAAGTGAGTCCTCAGGGTCTGCACTTTTGCCTCCTTGACTCGCTCCACGCCGACGTGCATCTTCTTTAGTGTCTCCTATGCTTGCTTGGCGGAATCCTTCTCTGTAACCAAAAGAAGAACGTCCTCTGGCAGCGCTTAATAGATGGCAGCGAGGGTCATTCTATCCTTACGCTCTTCGACCTCGTCTTGCTCCACAACGTCCCACACTCCTTGAGCTTGTAGATTCACACGCATGTTCAACGCCCACACCGAGTAGTTACTCTTCGTCAGTAACGGATAAGTGAGTGTTACGCTCCCTTCTCTTCCGATCTTCATTAATACCATATCTCCTATGATAGCTTTGCTCGGTGACGACATGTTCTTCGGCTAACTTGGCTCTGATACCAGATGTTGGTTACAATTTAATGAATCGCTGAAGGACAAATTGAAAGAAAATAAGACTATACTTTTGAGAATTCTCTTTGTATCATTTTGAAAGAGGAAATGATACAAATTTGGAGTGTGTGTTACATTGCAGCACAACACCCAATTTATACTAACCAATGCATACCGAAAAAGAAAGAAAGCGTACACAATAAAGGCAAAGAGAATTGTAGACATTAAGTGCCATCAATTCACGTCTATTTTAAGACCTATATTTATTCCATTAATTGTGCAATCCATTCATATTTATTATAAGACCACTAATTGAGTAGTCAATTCATGCCTATTATAAGACCTATATTTATTTAACTAATTGAGTAATCAATTCAAGATTAGACTCACATAATTATGTACTTCATTTTTTTATTCAACTTTTCTTCTAAAAGAAAAATGAAACACAAATTATTCTCTGATCATTCTAACTACTGGGGCCTATTTAGTATAATGAAATGTATGTATGTAAAAAAAAATTTACAAAGTACTATGATCAAGATGTATTTGAATTTCTTTCGAGTTATTTGGTTTGTTGTGGTATATATGAAATTTAAAACGATCGATGAAGAAGTGAAAAATAGAACAACAAAAGCTTCACACCAAAAGAACGTACAGATTTACGTGATTCGGTAAATTGCCTACATTCACGGTGTTGCAGATGATTTTATTAATTGAGGAATTACACCGTTTGATTACGTCGATAATTAAAGGAGAACGTTCTCCCTCCTCTCCTCACTCTCCTCTCTCTCACTCTCTGTCCAAGAACCACAAGAGAAAATCCCCAAAAATAATAGAGAGAGAATCCTTGCGTTCCGTCTCCGAAACAATTTGCCGTAAGGCAGGAAGAAGTAAACCGACTGTAGCTTCTTCCTCCTAACCAATTTCACGATCAAAATCGCTAGAAAAATAAAGGAGCAAAGTCTTGCAATTTCTTCCCGTATCTCTTCTTCAAGTGAGAAGAACTGCCGGAGTAGTCCAAGGGAGCCTCTGCCTTGCTATGCGAAGCCTCTCTCTCGTTGCCACAACAACACCTAAATCGTCCGCAAGGAAGAAGAAGAAAAACCGCAAAACAAGAGCGAGTGGTTACGAAGCAAAGGCGTAAAAACAGAGACGTAACCCTTTAATTAATTAAGGAACAATTAATTACTCTCTTAATTAACAGTGAACCGACTCCATTATCCAACATGGGTTAGCAGATTGAAAAGTAATATATATTTCTAAATATACATGTAATTCAAATTCGATCAAATCGACAGAATTCTAAATTCAGTCAAAATGAACAGCGATTGTGCTAACTTCAAATTCATTAATCCTTTATAATCTGTTTATAATTCTTCATGCTAAACAAACAATATTCTCAAATTCATAAAAAAAAATTATAATACACCAAAAATTTACTCAACCAAACAACTCCTTAACGTTTCGGTATTCCTTCGACTAGTTTTTCTTTTGTTTTTTTTTTTAAATAAAATTTTCTCGACTGCCTACTTTCTCTCTTTTTAAT